TACAATTACTACTACTACAACAACTACAACTACTTCTACTACTGCTACTACAACTACTAAAACAACTACTACTACTGCTACTACAACAACTACTAATACTACAACAACTACAACTACTACTACTGCTGCTACTACAACTACTGCTACTACTACTACTACTACTGCTACAACAACAACTACAACTACTACTACTACTACAACAACTACTACTACTACTACTACATCTACAATTACTAATACTACTACAACTACTTCTACTACTGCTGCTACTACAACTACTAAAACAACTACTACTACTGCTACTACTACTACAACAAATACAACAACTACTACTGCTACAACAACTACTACTACTACTGCTACAACAACTACTACTTCTACAACTTCTACTTATTATTATAATAATACTACTACTGCTACTTCTACGACTACTTCTACTACTACTACTACTAATAATAATAAAAAATAATACTACTACTACTAAATGATAGATTGACACATCCTGTATACAATATTCCTGACCCAAACTAATATCATAAACTTATATTACTGTTCAGTTCCTATTGGTTGTTTAGTTTTCAGCAGGTGAGTCTTTATCCAATCACAGAGCAGCTTCCCATCAGCTCGGCTCACGTGTCCTTATTTATTTCACACGAAGCGTCCTCACCTCCGGTTAGAGACGCTCTGCTGCTGGACACCTGTCGGACAGACGACCCGCTGACTGGAGGTCACCTGTGGAGACAGATAAAGATGGAGGAGGAGGAGGAGGAGGTGTCATTAAATCAATTCACTGCAGGTAAGGTTCATTTAACTTTTTAAAACATGTCCGTTAACGGTTTCCTGGAAAACTGGAAACTGTCCTGACTTTTAATTGACCTCATCACTAACTACTGAGCTAGCTTGTGCTTAACAGCTAAGTTAGCTAGTTAGCTCAAGGGTGGTATTACCTAGTTAGCTCAAATGTTGTGTTAGCTAGTTAGCTCAAATGTTGTGTTAGCTAGTTAGCTCAACTCTTGTGTTACGTAGTTAGCTCAACTCTTGTGTTACGTAGTTAGCTCAACTGTTGTGTTAGCTAGTTACCTCAACTCTTGTGTTACCTAGTTAGCTCAAATGTTGTGTTAGCTAGTTAGCTCAAATGTTGT